AGGTTAAATCAATTGTTCTAGGAACTATGATAGACTATTTTTATTTACATTCATTTAGCTGTAGAACAGTCACATAAGTTTAAAGAAACTGTAATATTGTCTTCTCATAGATGGAAAAAATCATCTGGCTATCTTTGTTGCCTCTATATGCTACTGGCTCAAAAGATTCCGTGGTCTACTTTTCCTGCATTCATCTAAATTAGCACATGCAAATGTCAGTTTTTCACATCCGACAAAGTGGGCGTATGAAGTGTCATACTCTGTTATGACTGAGATTTAACCTAGACCTTTTATTCTACATGAGTCCTTGGTTACGATTCAGAAAGATTTTCGTCTTTGATAATCATAGACTATCGACCACTTTAACTTATTCCACGGGCTTTATATTAGCTAATGTGGCTCAGACAAAGAGCAGAACTAATGCCAGTTAGTCATTTCAAAAGACACTTTGTTTCTGTTGATGAGTCATTGTGTATCAGATTTCCATTATTTCATATCTGTTTCAGCGGTAGAATTCTTGTCAACCACGCACTTGGTCTGAGTTCCGTTTACGGCTAATGCACTCCTAATCCTCCTAGTTCACTAGTTAATATTAGGCTCGGAAAAGAGGAAAGTTTGGGCTTGAGGCTAACAACCCTAACAAGGTCTTGCGACATCTGATTTTGTTCATCTATCACTGCGTATAGCATATTACTACTCATCTATTTGTTTCGGATGGGTTTCCATAAACTTTCTGATGCACACCTTTTCGAATAAAAATGCTCTGACTGCTTGAAATAACCGTTGTGCTACTCCAACTTACTCAACGTTTGTAAAATATATTTATCCTTTAATAAAATAAATTGAATATATAACCAAAACTTAAAAAGAGTTATAGAAGGGCATATTTCCTATTCAGCAGACTATGGTTTACAGGAATTTTATTAATGCAATGAAGGGTGTGATTATATGTTTCGTAGTACATTTCTATTCACTTAAAACGACTGTCATAAACTCGTTAGCGACGACTGTGATGAAATCGACGTTTACAGAAGTTAGATATGTGGTATGTGTAAAAATGATTCGTTGCGTTTTTTTGATTGTTGAATATGCTGCATATTTTGACACTTTACAAGCTGATCTCTCAGTTCTGAAGCTTTCTATTTGTTTATTTCGGTCATTTACATCTCAAACGTGGGTTTTTCAGCCACAACTCTAGACCTTAAAATCCTATGAATACTCACGTGAAACTATATTTTTAGCAGTAGTTTTTGAATACATGTATGGCTTTCAGTGTAAATACCATGCAGAAAAGTTAAGCATACTTCTCTGCCAGTATTTTCAGGCATTTTTTCCTCAGATAATCTGGATTGATCATCGTGTTTGAGAAAATAGTGGTCTTTGAAACTCAGCAAAAAATGACTGATCTTTGTTGACCCATCGAATAATAACATCAAGGCTGAAATCAAAGACACCATCAAAACATCTGTACTAGGAGTTTATACTGTTAACACAAAAATATTTCATTTTTATACATCAAAGAACGAACAGGAAATTCAGAGTTTCATAAAGCATATGCGTTTGATGTATATCGCCTATCTGTTTCTATTAAATCAATAATCTCTATCCCGCCAAAGGGTGGGTTGCCTATTATTCTCTATTAACATTTTCTCTTGTACTTTTTGAATGAGTAATCTATGTGTGACTTCGTTTTATCTCTTCTTGCTTAGCATCTGTTCCCTAATTGGTTATTCTGTCAACTAGGTCGAACTCCATTATGGAAAAGATTTTATTTCGATAATCACACAGTTTTGTACAGTAATATTAACTGATGACGTTTCGAGCATAAACTACTGCTCATAATCATATCATATGATATGAGCTAAAATTGAAGGCAATATTCCCTTTCATTTGTTTGTATTCGGGTGTATTTTTGTGTAATCTGTAAACTCCATTATTCTGAGGTTTCCGGATTATCGCTTGACATGTAATGCTAAAAATCGAGAAAATACTGCCATAATATGATAATAGTGCAATATTCGACAAAGTAAATATCCATTTCCCGCCTGAACATCGTTTACTAATTACTTAGTTTACGAGAATCTGTACCATTGAGGAATACATGAAAAGAGGTATTCTTTATAATTAATAAATTAAATGAAAAGGAATGTAAATAACTTATGTTTAAACAGGGAAATTATCTGCAAAAACAGGATGTGAATAAAAATATCCAAATTTGTAGGGATATTTTCTCACTGCATTGAAACCAACGAATCAAAAACAAGGTAATTCGGACCAATGATGACTTTGACACGCTTTACAAGGATAACATTTATTCTGTTAGTCAATGAAGGTTAGATATTGGGGTCACTGAATATGAAAGGGAAGAACAAATACAGAGATCTGCAATAAGAATATGAGTATGGGAATTTTCTAATCAAATGAACACTCATATTGATTGAAACGACATACTGAGGTAGAGAAGCGAGAAGAAAGGAAGAGAAAAATCAATTACCATATGTATTTATATATTCCCTTCTGCATCTTTGAGAATAGCCTTTACCAGTCGAGCATCACTGTTCAGTAACCTGAATGACAAGATCTCTCAGTTGACCAACTCTCTGTGAGTTTATCAATTCACCTACTCGTGTGTAGCTAGGTATATCGGTTGTTCGACTTCGGTTTTGTCCAAGAAGGTGCAAGGACACTATCCTGAATGGTTACGAAGTGGTGGCAGTAGAGCAGTAAGCAGCGCGATCATTGAACATTTGGTCGACAGTGATCACCCTACCTCTATAGCCTCCACCTTTAAAGTCATCTACAAGACGAAAAGTAATTTGTCCAAATCGCTACGTACCCGACTCATCTGTATTGCTGAAGCTTTGGCCATCGAAACAGAAAAGCCAGACTTATGTATACAGAAAAAGTTCGTTCAACCCCTCCAACTCTCATGGTTTTCATCCCTGTATGCTAAGGTATGGTAATCCCTAATCACATTTGGCTCTGCCAATTTTTTCGTTTCGTTTATTCAGTTTGTATACTCTTCCATTGTTACGTCAACTATTACTACTACTATTCTCACTTTGAACTGTTCCCGGTATTATTTCACTCGTTCCAATTGTCATTCGAAATCAATTCTGTTTTGCAACGTTAAATTCTGTTATCAAATTTCACACAATGTCACATATCGTTTTTATTTTATTCTATTTCCTTACTAATCCTATAATTGTACACCCCTTCCAAGTTCTATACATTCTGTGAATTATTCCATATATGGCACTAATAGTTTTGCCACTTGACATTTAACTACGATTATAATTACAGATATTTTAATTGCATTTCATACTACTATTATTATTTTATGCATTCACACCTATGATTCAATCCCTCACCGATTATAATTTTTAAAAATCATATATATATGATTGTATAGCTTGATAATAAATTCGCTGAAAGAGTCTCTTCGCTGAATCACTTGTTTTGGTTTTTTTCTCTCTCTATATATATATATATATATATATATATAATGTCCCCGGGCAAACGTGCCTTTAAGTTGACTAGACCTATTTACCGACTGCATAGGACAAAAAGTTATATCGATAAGTAAATTAACAGAAATAGCATATGATTTACACCTTCAGGTTTATGATTAAAACTGGAAATACGTTTCTGATCTTGAGCAGTAATTTCTTATGCAGTGTAGAAGAAGTTAAATTCGTGTGGAATAGACGTTAAAGGCTGACTAGTAACACATCGATTACGCCGATGAATGCGAAAGAGAAGCAGATTTTCTTTGTAGTAGTTTGATGACGGATGGACAGTTTTGTTAACATAGGATTGATAATTATTGCACAATTCAGACGGGTGTATAGATGGATAGTAATCTTCAACCTTCCGCAGTTTGAAAAGCAACTTCCTATCAATATAGCCAGGAACTAGAATCGTCGATTTTTCTCATATATATATATATATATATATAGCCAACTTCACATTTAACAGTTTTAAAAATTATTGGGTATTGGGCATATTAAAAAGGTCATTATATAGGCTTCCGCATTTCTCAGAGAATGGGAAAAAACAAAACGAAAGTGTTTTACTTGGTTCCAACATCTCAGCCTCTGCATGGAGTGACAGAGTCAACACAAATATGATAAATAACTCCATTATGTAAACATACTAATTAATCTAGCAACCTCCACATGGTTTATTATGTTTGCCGACTCATCCACCTGAAAACCTAAGTAATGAATTTATGCTGAAGAACAGTGATTAAGTTACTGCATGTTAGCTCGAATTTCTACAAATTCTGGTTTGATATTACTTTGATGAGGCTATTAGCCCTAAATAGCGAAACATCAGCGAAAACAGCATCATTTAATTTTTTCTTCCTTTGAAAAGTGAAAAACCTATAATACTAATGAATGAGACTGCCACTACATTAATGAGTGTTACATTCTCATCAGGACCTTAAGAATAATAATCAGTTTGTATTCCACTTGAAAAACATCAGTGTCGTGTGACATTCATAATAGTTTCCATGTACAACTTCGTAAATAGTGTACAATAATAATGTGAATTATTATTTATTGAACAGTTCAACTGCTAATTTACCCAGTGTTTCCTGATGAAACACTAGTCTATGTTTGTGAGAGAGAAAGTGGAAAATTGACATTGGCTCTCTAGATATGCATATAATGGAAGTGTATGAATGCACAAAATATTCTGTGTTTGTAGGAGGGCTAAATTACCATAATGTAGTTTGTATAAACGCCTAACAGCTTCATTGTATATTTAAAAAATTATATTCAGTCATATGGTTACTTTTCATATAGTAAATCAAGAGATTAAATTGAGAGATATGTGAATAATTTCTCATTATAATTATTTTCATCATAATGCATGAAATATTATCATATAATCTACGTTCAACCAACTGCTTCTTTCATTGGTTACCTTCGTTATTTGCGATTCATCTACATATATAAATATCATGAGGCTAGAAAAATATTTACATGTTACAATAACAAAGGCGTTCTCTTTCACATCCATTGACGGAGAAGCATCAATTCAGCTGTATTCATGTCTCATGACACCAAAGAATTAATCTTCTATGACACACCTCATGATCTAGTCTACTTCTGCGATCGCCTCACATCTAATTCTACCCGACTGTACAGAGCACACTGCATTATTACAAAAATTCTTGGAGGGTGGTCAGCATATCTTCTACCACTCATTTGTGGCCTCGGACTAACGATGCACACAGCTGTTATCGCTATCATTTTCACAAATTTGAAATGCATGCCACGTCAGTTGATCTACACAGGATGTTTGAGCTGTTCGAATGTCATCACCAATATCCTATTCGCTTGGTTGTGGTTATTTCCAGCAAAGGGTTTACCGTTTGCCACGAAAGGGCGGATATACTACTTCATATCGAATGCTTCAAGATTAGCCTGTCGTCTGTTCCGATTCAACTACTCACTGAGTACAACGTTTACAAGTAATTTAATATTATGCTCAGCTATTGACCGTTGTCTGAGTATATTTTATCCAGTAAGTTTTTCACGGTGGAAAAAACGTCACGCCTGGTATGTTTGCTTAATTGTCTTTGTCGTCAGTGGCATTATGATGTTACCGTTTCTTATCATAATCGACTGGATACAAATTGGCCGCTTTCATATTTGCTGGTTGGATGAGAGTGAATTTCATCTTCAAGTATATCATACAATATTTGCGAACTTAGGCTTAGTGCAGAGTACTTTGATTGTTATTGTCAATGTGGCGTTTATAACACGGCTTCGTATACAATTCAAGAAGACAGGTGGCGGTGGTTTAGCATATAACAAAAAAGAATTGAAGCACATTACAATTTCCATTATCCTCTTGGCATTTTCAATGTCTTATGTGTTGACCGCTTTACCACAGACTACAGTTTATCTATTGGCATTCCTATGGTCACATTCGAGAGTAGACACGACAGCAGAAAATGAGGTAAGTGTCAGAATGATGTACAATTTGGCAGATATAGGATGGAATATTCATTTTTTACGAGAATTAGTCGATTTGTTCATGTATTTCGTTTATCTGAAGCCATTGCGTCGTGCATTAATACTTAAAATTAAACAGTATATCAAAACAATCACTCACTATGATTCAAACTCGTCTGAGCCATCAATGGCAAGGTAGTTATTATACCTATTGAATATTTATTGTTGATTGTACATGGCTTTTAGTCACGGTGGTTTAAGCATCCCCTTAGTGATTTATTTTTCAGTTTTTTCGTACTTAAACACACTTCTTTTATCTTTCTTATTTAATATATATTCTGTGGTTCAGTAACGTTATTTTGACAATTTGTATTTACTGCTCTATTAAGAATCATTTTGAACTATTTTTGTCTCTACTATTATTTCATATAAGCAGAAAGCATTTTAATCACAGTTAATTATATAAGTCATCTACTACTTTATTTAGAAATATTTATATCACTAAATAAACATTCTGAATGTACTAATTCTCTGGTTTTATCTTTTTCATATCCATCATATGGTTTCACAAACAGCTGTGTGGCCAGCAAAAATAAAGGGTAGATTATTCAGAATGGCAATGTGTATTTGACATAACAAGGGTAGTGAGTAATATATTGATAGATCTAGTAAGAATCCCATCGGAACCCCCTCTGATTACCTTAACATGACTTTATTGGATAGAAAGTGTGCGTCCATAGTACATCTTAATGGGAAATAAAAGTAGTCCACAATCACAGAAACAGAATTACTACAAACGCCAGAGAGCTCAAACTTGGCCTAATTTATGACCGAGATGTAGCTTTATGTTTGGAGCACTGACATTAAGAATATAACTATTTAAAAGAAAAATCATTTGAATGTATTCTAACAGATTAAGCATCTCAAAGGGAAAGTGAAATAAAATGTGGAATAGTAATTCTGTGCTTCGAATAGCATGAGCGCAGATTAACATTTAAAAACTGAAAAAGATGAAAAATATCTTAACAGTCATTATATGTTAAAAAAACAATACTCAGTATATGGTTACAGGGAATGGCTAACAGGTTTAAATAAATCGAAATGTAATCCACTTACACCATATCAGCGAGGAAAATGTTCGCATACTGGAGTCGTCTTCCGGACAGTTTTCCTCAACAAGATACGAGAATATGTAAAATTATAAAACACAAAAATAATCCCCTTCATCGCTAAGTTCTGAGGTATTCATTTTCATTTGGATAATGCTTATAAATACAGTAGTAGAACCAAATTCTATCCTTGTTGTTCAAAGAAGCAGATAACACGAATATTTGGTCACACTAAAATAATACTTATTCTGCTAGTAATTATCCGAGTCTGAGAAAGTGAAAACTGTGGAAGAAATGACGGCAAATATCTAGATTTGCTAACAAAATCACAACCATGACTAAACAGATAAAAAGGTCACTCAGCAGTCGGGTGTTATGGTGGAGAGTGTGCAGCTCTTGAGTGTGGCCTGAGTAATAGATATTAGACACTTAGAGAAAAAGTTACCTTCTGTTGAATTGAAGAAGAAGAAGAGGTGCAATGAGAAATTAGAGAAGCAGATTCCTGCAAAAGGAAAGTATCACCTATAAGAGCAGATTGGTTATCTGTGAATAAGTAAATTAAAATGAAAAGTTTTTCTCATCGTTGTAGGGAAAGACGAACAGCAGTTGCTTTCTAAATTCATCAGTTGCATTTTAGTTGTCCAATCACAACTGCTTCGGTGATACGTACTAAACTAAGATTCATTTCTATATTAATTATCTTAAATGATCTAAACAATTGATTTTGCGCGCTCACTATGTATCAGGTAACGAGAGATAGTGATAGTAAAGACTACTGCACATTTAGCCACGAATTCATTGGCAGTGAAAGAGAAGTTTTAAATGCATTTGAGATAATGAAATCAATTTAAAAATTCAGATTCACACACGAACAAAACAACAGATTTCAAGAGCAAACATATTTCGATGAATTCATCATCCATCACAAATTTCTTTATATAATGAACAAACGTAACAAGTAGCAGCCTCGAAATATATATATATTTTTACTGACTTAGGTGGAAATGGCCGTTATGAAGGACAAATTAGTGTCAGACCCTGATGAACCAATTCGAAGTCGGTCGCATGTGCATAATTCTGACGTGAGGAACAGTAGGACATCATAAATAGGTTGACGTATTTTAATCTTAAGCAACACATTCACGAGGATGTGTATGTATCTTCCAAAGAAGCAAGAAAAAGAGTTATCGTAGTTTAAACGGTGAAATGTCGTGGTCGTAATTAAGTGTTCTTTGACTGAATATTCGTGTAAGCATCGTAATTTGTTCTTGTTCTAAGTGATATCTGGGCTTATATGAAGTCAAATATGTGACAGGGTATATACGGCAAAACTGTGACCAGAAATCTCATCGTGTCTGTAAAGTTGACTTGACACTATCGATTTAAAACAGCAAAACACAATGAGCATTCGAAGTGCAATGAGAACAATACTCCTGTTAGAGTGTCGAACTTTCAGGAGAGTGTAATGATGCTAGTAGGAAATGAAGGTGGAAATTTATGCAAGCGTTATCACATCAATCACATGGACACACATATTAGCTTCTCCATCAGATTCTAAAATGCTCATGTCATCTTTGATTTTTGCTTATATGATATTTGAGCAGAAACTCACACCACAACAACTTTCGAGTGTAAAATATTTTCCGGTCAAAAGGTAAAGTACACCATAAAATACACATTATGTACAATACTGAAATTCTGTTGACCGGATTCACTTGTATCGCTGATCACATTTCTCGAAGCTCATTCTCTGAACAAATGATAACAAATATCACCGAAATGACGTCTGGGCAAACAAGTCAACGACTATAAGTATCCTGATAGTCCTAGTAGGTCGTTCATCCAAATCCCCATGCTTATATCGAAATGTGTTGTCAACAACTGCAGTTTCTGTAGAGCACATGAGAGGAAGAGAAGGATGGAATCTGTCGTTATAATCCCCTGCCATACGTTGACAAAGCTAAAAAACTGAGTTGTGCTCGTATTCAAATGTAATAATTCATTATATTTGATAAAAGGCATCCTCTTCTCCTCACAATGACATGATAAAGGCTTTTCCATAAATCAGTTTAATGAGGAGAAACATGAGAATTGGCATCAAGTCAGTAGACTGTGTATTCGTTAATCACAATGAATTCACTGCCAAGTGGCTTATACAATGTTAACCGCATAGAAGAATATCTTTACACAATGTCGAGTTCCATCAACGTACCTGTGGTTGACTGAGCAGCATAACGGTGAAAATGAGAACAAGAACACCTGTAATTGTGAATGTGAATATTACTAAACTAACAATAAACAATCTTTCAATATGATATAAATACACCGATGTAATACAGAACAGATTGTATGCGTTTTCATCAGATGAACAGGACTCAAATTCCGTGAGGGACTGAGATAACCGATTCTACATAAAAACATCAAGCCACTCAAGCATATCACTAGCTTTCCGGAGCGTATATAAACACATTATAGATTGAAGATCAGTGTTAGCTAACTGAAATAGGATTAAGTTCGGGGGGTTTTGGCGATCGTCAGACTAAAACATCCAACTAATACGCGAATCCATTGCATTTCTATCCTCTACCACTATTCATCCTTATAAGTTGTACGTAGATTGGAACTGATGTACTCCCACACAAATTTTGACGCTCATTTATAATTTATCAGTCAGTCATGTGAGGAGTGGACGAAAGTATGTGAAGTTTAATAATAACTGACTATCCGTAGAAAACGTGAAATGTCCAAAATTATAAATGTACATTTCAAAGCGTTTGATATTAATTGAATTATGTTATTATTAGAGATCGTGCATATTTTCGGTAGAACGAAGTTGCATGGGTGTTCAATCCTGTGAGTGGTAAAATGCGGGGATTCTAATTTCTCAGTGGCCGTTTTAACTGCAGCCACCGGAAGAATCACTATGACTTCTATAACAAACAGTGTTGACTAACCTACATTGTTTTCTCGTCATTCGCTCCGGTATCAAGAAAGATTTGTGATGAAAATGACTTGTTTTATGAATGTCAAACTTTATATACGTTGTCATGAAAGACTTTGATGCCCCAAATCAGTGAAAAGCAGGGGAATTTTTAAGTGCTTACGATAAATTTTGGCTCAAGTTATGAAATCTGCACAAGTACTAATGAGTTTGGTTTGTGAATGAATTAACCTTTTAGATAAAATGGAGTTACCTCCTGTGAGCTGGCTGATTTGATTACATGGCTTTTATTGTCACTGTATGCATCAACACAGACACCAAATTCAGACAATTTGAAGTTCTCAACAGTCGGCCTGGTAGTTTATTGTAGTTTTGAGCAGATTCAAGCTAATACCCACAGGAGACTGTGGTAAGTGTGGGAAGGCTTTCTGAAAGATGTGGTGGACAGCAGTCAGTTAAAGAGCAAACATTTGTTTGACATCTGATTTACTCGTTTGTCAGTATAAAACAAATTCCTTTTAGTATTTGGATTTCACAGACTAATTTCCTTCTTGTTTGTTGTGAATTTATTGCTGTCTAGAAAAGTTCCGTATTTTATTTTTTATTAAGATAAGTGAGATATGAGATTCGCGAAAGTGAACGGCTGTACTTCTCCCTTATAACTTAATACTGGCTTATAATTTTAGTCGAAATGGTGAGGTAATGGTGGTCACCACATAGTATAGTCAGCTAGTGGTTGGAAAGAAAATTAATTATTCCGAAAAACTAACAATGCAGTAATAACGAGAAGGTGGATTTGTGAGCGTGTTGCTGGTAGCATTTTTCACGACCTGGCATCAGCTTGTGGGCCACTGAAAATCTGGGATTATTTGTTGGCCATTTTGGACTAGTTGTAAATGCTTTAGTCTAGTGAAGTGAGCGTAGTAGAGAGAGAGGTGGCAAAGATAGCAGACAAACAACAACATGCACCGATAGCCATCACTGGAAGAGATCTAGAGGAAGTCATCTGCTTCACTCATCTAGGCAACATCATTTAAACTGCAGTCGTAGGGCGCGGATGAGGGTGTCAAAGCAAGCCGGGAAAGAAGACAAATGTTCATTATTCTGTAATCATTGTGGAGGTATAAAACACAGCATAATGAACAAGACCCTTATTTTTAATACTAATGCGAAGTCACTGGTTCCAAATGACTCAGAGGTTTGGCTCTCGCGTAACCTAAATCATTTTAAGAAGTCTTCCTAGCAGACTTTCATCAACAGTTATATTCCCTGGATACTGAAGGTCGTATGGTCTGCAAAAAGGATTAGCGAAAAGAAACCCTGGTAATGATTCACCCAGCAATTTGTTATTAGACAAATATGCAGAATGAAAGATGGATAGAAAGGGTATATGCTGAAGAGACAATCAAGCAACGTCGCAATTGAGGATGTTGAATGGAACTTGAATGGTACTCGAGGGACTAAGTGTGC